GTCCCGCAGATTCCGCTGTTCTTGATTTTGGATTAGGGATTCGTTTTTTTTTTTTTTTTCCGCGTTCCTTCCAAAGGTGAGAGGGAACTTTCGAAGTTATGGTGCATGCCTGAAGTCTTCGCCGGGCCCGTCTTGAACTCTCAGCCTGTTTCAATTTCCATGCCGGGTTTCACCCTGAGTTAACACCCCGAAGCCTTAAACTTCACCTGACATCCATACGTTGTTCAACCACGGAGCTTCAGCAGGCTTGATGCGCCTGGAGCCCAGCTGCAGCGTTTGGCATATCCGGCCGGAAGGGTCTGGGGTTCATAAAACCTATACCTTAGGATCCCCCTGATACTAGCAGTCTTTAATCGGGATTACAATAGGGGGTACTATATTCCCGATTAAGGACTGTTAGTCTAATAAGGGGGAACATGCAAACCTGTACCCTTAAACCCGAAACCGGGCTTCAACCAAGCAATGTTTGCAAATGCAAAGCCAAGGCAATGTCAAAGTAAAGCCAGGCATCAGCCTAGCCAAGCTTCGTTTCTTCGCGAAATGCAATAGATGCCAGAACTTCCAAATGTTGTAATTGACAGAATTTGGAGCTTGCGAACAATCAGAAATGCTCCAGGGTGGAGCCTGTAAAAGGTCTGCAGCAGGGTACTCTCAGGAGGTGTCCCTGCCATTCCCTACCTGGGGCGAAGACAACGTGACCAGTTGACGCATGCATCTTTTGCGATATCTCCATGTGCGTGGCGCACTATTTGGGCAAATGGCCAGGTCGACACCTGATTTGGTTTCAGTAGGTTTTCACCAGACGTTTGCATACTGGTATACATTCCGTGACATGATATACACCACTTCTGTTTTCAGACCGAACTTCAGTGCTTATAGTATACTGTGTAGCGTGCAAAATGCAATGTATCATTTCCACACTATTAATATACAAAACAGACAGAAGAGAGAATCACATATCTACACACACGTAAGATCACTTGTGCTATGCATTATCATATAGTATTGGATTTATGAAAAAGACCATGTAATAGAATAAGATCGGATAAAGAATGAGCATGATTTTTAATAGCATAATGAACCAGGAAAAAGTAAGACGGGGTATAAGGCCCAACATAAGTGCTTCTGAATACACCTTAATCAATGAAAATCCCGTGCGCATCCCTTCATTCTTATGATAATGCTGAGCCGCTAAGACTCCGGACCTCTGAAGCTCGACAAGGTATTTTTGTATTCTTGTATGAATATGTTCGCATATTTGTAAGGTGTCATGATATTCGTATATGCTTATACTGTTATATCTATGTGACCGTATTACTGTATGTGTATATTTCAGTGCTACAAAGGTTCGGTTTAGGAGCCCAGGTTCTGGCTATCAGCCGGGGCAGGTCCACTTCAGCGGTCACGCCTTCGATCGCCGGGATGCCGAAATGGCAGCCTTAAGTAAGGGTCTAGGGCTTATACAGTTTATACACCAAACAATTATTGGGGAGTATAGCTATAGGGTACTTGTAACCGACAACCCTGCACCCCTTTAGCACCTGCACGGGTTAAGCTTGTGCTCTCGGCGAGCTCTTGGATTGCCAGGTTAGGAATTCCTCAGGGCTCGGGGTCTAGGACCCCGAGGAGTCCTTATTCGTTTTTTTCGGGTTAGGGTTCCCTTATAAGCCCATTCAGAGGTGACTCTTGGGTCTATGGGTTGAAGGCTTCAGGCCGAGGTTTCACTGAGAACCACGGAGAACACTGCCCTTCAGGCCGGGACCTCCTCATTCTGCACAGCAGGCTTCTGCAAAAGGCAGGTATGGGGTATGTTCTAGGGACTGTCATTTTGGGGCCATGGGACCGTTTTCGCTAGGGTTGGTGATCGTTTGCCTTCTATCTCTGCACCAGAGCATAGCAGCATGGGTACGATGCTGGCGAACGATGCTCGAGGTCACTCGCATCTTCATGGCGACCTACAATACGCGTCGATTCGCAACCCCTGACTAAACCCCAACCCCCCTAAACCCTAAGCCCTAAGCCCTAAACCCTAAACCCGGGATGTATAGATTCCATAGATGCCGTTTTGCCAGGCGCAGCAAGCCTTTGCGAACGGGGATGAGAAGGGCCCGCTGCCGAAGGCAGATACGGCAAGTACCAACGCCCGGATGCCAAGATCAGACGTGGAGTTTAGAACACGACAGCCATAGTAATGTCGACAGCAGGTAGGATGATCGTGAGGCAACAGGGGGGCGACACAAAAGAGTGTAGTTGCGAAGGTAGACAGTGCTGTGGCAGCAGCCGCTGCGGCGCGGTCGTTGCCCCTAAACCCTAAACCCTAAACCCTAAACCCTGGGGTTTTGGTGTCCTGGGCTTGCGGTGCAGACTCGTGTTTCACGTTGGCGCCCGATATGGCATAGGCATCAAAAAAAATAATAAGCATCAAAAAGAAAACTAATAGGGATCAATAAAAAAAATAATAGGCATCAAAAAAAAATAAGCCATCCGGCCCACCTGCGTGGTCCTCTGGCCCGTGGTCCTCTGGTCCCGTGGTCCTCTGGTCCCGTGGTCCTCTGGTCCCGTGGTCCTCTGGTCCCGTGGTCCTCTGGTCCCGTGGTCCTCTGGTCCCGTGGTCCTCTGGTCCCGTGGTCCCCTGGTCTTGTGGTCCCCTGGTCCTCTGGTCCTCTGGTCTGCTTGTCTGTCCGCCTGGTCCTGCGGGTCCTATGCGTATAAATAAATAATTAAATTAGACAAATAAGTAAAAATCAATAAATATAAATATATATTATATACACACGATAGTGAAGGTCAACGTGTGTGTATATATATATATATGTATGTATGTATGTGCATACATATATATATATATATACATATTACATAATACACATTACATTACACATTACCTATTATATACTATACATTATACATTATATATTATTATATATTATATATTATATATTATGTATTATGTATTATGCATTACGTATTCTGTATTATGTATTATGTATTATGTATTATGTATTAATTATGTATTATGAATTCTATATTATGTTTTATGTTTTATGTACTATGTATTATGAATTATATATTATATGTTTTATATTATGTATTCTGTATTATGTATTATGTATTATGTGTTATGTATTATGTATTTATGTTCATATTTTTAATGCGTATGTACTATGTATTATATATTATATATATATATATATATATATTATATATATATATATTTATATATTATAGATATTATATATAATATATATATATATATATATTATATTATATATTATTATATATATATTATATATATATTTATATATTTATATATATATTATATATATATATAGATATTATATTATATTATACTATATATATGTCTATATATTTTATATTCAACATTATATCATGTGTATATATATATACACTTATACTTATATATATATATATATATATACACATATATATATATCATTTATATTTATGTTTATATTTTCATATTGTCGTACATTATATGATATGTGTATGTATATAAATGTAAATATAAATATCAATAAATAGATATATATACATATATATATATATATCGCATATTGTATATAGTGTGTTGACAAGTGTGATCTCGATGCCTACGGCCTTCCGCTCGAGACTCTTTTGTGTAGGAGGCTGTGCCAGGCATCTTTAAAATCGAGATGTATAGCCAAAGCGCCTGTGCTCAGCACCAATCCCTGAGACTACGCAGTTCTTTGTGTGGCCTTCTGTGTAAAAGAGTCGGTAAGCTGCGCCTCCGTGGGAGCTCCCTCAGCTCACACGGGTTAGGAGCCCAACTTTGACGCAATGGAACAATCTCCTGGATCTGGAGCGCAAGCCGAGCCAAACCCGTTCTGGTCAGATGCAGTGCAGCAGGAGTTCCGAAGGGCTCAGTCAGGGGCTGCCAGTAGAGCTTCGAGTGAGCTCTCTGCTCAGTCTTTGGAGCCGAACTATGATCAGATGGAGGGTGGGGACGAGGCAACCGAAGTTACGAATAATGATCTTCAGAGGAGTGGAATGGCTCAAGCCGAAGCTGGTGAGGTGGGACCCAGTGCCAGGGAGCCTGCAGTTGATATGGCTGGCGTGGCTGCGGAGCGTGTTGTCCAATTCAGGGAGAACGAGCAGTCGTCAGCTGAAGAGTTGATTCCCGACTACTCTAGGCTGGGCGCTCCAACAGGAGCATCTGCTGCGGGAGAGCAAGCTGTAGCAGATGATCGGCAGAGCGATATGGAAGCTCGGGTGGCCTCTATGGCTGCGGAAAGCCCGGTCTTGGGAATGAACTTCCCAATGCAGCACCAAGGGGTTCAAATTGACACTCAGGCCTTGGGCGCGTTGATGAGTCAGCTCATGCAGGTACAGATGGCGCCTGTGTTGGATCGTGTGCTAGAAGCTACGTCATCGCTGAGTCAGAGGCTAGACAAGCTGGAGAGCTCTTACTGTGGGTCAGGACCGCCGCGCTTCTGCATGCCGCCAAAGACTCTAACGAGGTTTTGGGCATGGGATCCCTGTATGGCCTTGTAGAGCAGCCTCGAGACGCGGTAGAGTATCGCCAGATTGAGGATCATCGTCGATGCCCTTGTTTGCTTGCTACTAAGGAGTGGAAGGACTTGCAAGGTTACCTCGGATGGTCTAAGGTAAACCTCAATCAAGGTCCGCTGGGACATACGCGGGTAAAGCCCACGACTATCGGAACGAATCTCCCGTTGCAGTGGCTCACAGTTGCGACTTCAGGCGTCCAGGCCTCGTGGACCAAGGATAGTGAGGACTCAAGGGAGTGGGGAGCCTGGGCTCCAGGTTTGGTGAAATCGATCGTTGAGGCCCTTCAAGAGTCCCTCGACAAGGATTTCCAGTGTGTCCAAATAAAGGCGGTAAAGCATTCGGATGAAGAGGCGATGAGACGCCACTTGGAGCAGGGTCATGTCCCTTACTGGCGACGATGTCGGGCTTGTGTTGAGGGAAGGTCAAGGGACAAGCGTCACTGTAGAGGGATGATCCCGGATGTCAACGTGCTTGCGATTGATTTGGCTGGTTTGTTCCGGTCGGGGTACGACGAGCGTATCAGTAAAGTGAAATACATGCTGCAAGCAGTTTTTGTCCTCCCAGACCTCAAGGCCTTGAAAACCAGAGACCAAAGCCAGGACCCAAAAGGCCATGAAAACCCAGAAGCTGGAGGTCTCCAGAACCCAGGAGCTACAGTTGCATCAGGTGCTGACGCTATCCTGAGTTCACCTTCCTATGCTCCCACTAGCGATGAGGAACTTGAGGTCCCCTCGCGGGTACGTAAGGTGCGGCTGAGCCCGGTTGGTGTTGGTGAGGATTTGAGTTCTTTGCCAGAGCGGCTCGATAGTGAGGAAGGGGTACAAGATCTCATTGGGGACCAGGACAAGGATGATATTTTTGGCGTCAGCGATGACGAGAGGGAGGAAAAACCTGAATCCAAAGGACCCCCAAAACCTATGGATGATGCAGGGGTTCATCTCCTTAGCGAGTTGCCGGTGATTGAGCTTACCTTTTGCGAACCCCTGAAATCCAAAGCCTCAAAGGAAGTTCTTACTGCTATTCGAAAAATAGAGACAAGAATCCACTCTTTGGGTTTCAAAGTGCAACGTATCCACTCGGACGCAGGGTTGGAGTTTCAAAACAAGCACCTAGCGGAGTGGGCGGCGTCCCGGCAGATTTTGCTGTCAAACACGTTGGGGGATAACTGGCGCAGCAACGGCCGTGCTGAACGCTCCATTGCGATGGCCAAGCAACTCACTAGGACCCATCTTTTGGCCACGAAGTTGGATAAGGACTTGTGGCCATTGGCGTGGCGCTGGGCCACAGAACATCGGCTACGGGAGGGCCTAAAAAGGTTAGGTCAGACGGTGGTGCCGATGGTGCCATTTGGGTGCAAGGTGTATGTGCGTCAGAGATCTTGGAGGCTGAAAAACCAGTGGTCAGAGCGGGTGGTGCCAGCTGTGGTGCTGGCTCCCGTTTATGGGGTGCCGCAAGCGTGGGTGATTCGCACAGATGAGGGGGAGTTTTTTGCTACCACGATAATCTTTAGGGACGTTCTCACGTGCCCCAACCCTCCAGCGTATGTTCCCGCTGCCACCACCCACAGCGCTCAATCGCCGTTGTCTACGGATGCCCCAGCGGCTCCCACACATCAGAGGGAGCCCGCTCGACGGATAAGGCTGAAGACGAGGCTAGCCCGTCTGCATAGCCATTTTTTGTCTGAAGATGAACATGCTGCAGTGATAGCTGCCACGCAACCTTTTGCCTTCAATCGAGCTTTGGAGTTCCTGAAGGCCTCAGCGTGGGTGAAATCCAAGGCGAGTTGCTCTGCCACTACAAGGGATGGGATGCAGGGTACCTGGGGACTCTTTCGGCATGGAGGGCAGGTGGGACTGACAAACATGACACGACTCCCTGGGTTTGCCCGCTTACTGGCTGCTGTCATCCGGACCGTAGCGCCAGGGGTTTCGTTTACCACCGTAGCCCTATTTACGCAAGGAAACGTTGGCCCGCACCGCGACATCAATAACATCCCCAACTCCAACGTTCTGTATCCAATTTGCCTTCCCAAACCAGGGATGTACGTTTGGTCGCAGCTACAAATGGGTGATCAGTTGTCAGGACCTGTAGAAGTTCGGGCGGTGCCCGGCGGCGAGTTGCAAGCTGGACAGGTGCGTTGGTTGCGGGAGCGTGAGCCGCTTCAGCTCAATGCGAAATCCTGGCATTCGGCCCAGGTTCTTGGTCAGTCCCGGGTTCTGTTGTTGGTCTCTTACAGTTTGCTAGCAATAAACAAAACTACAGCAGAGCATAAAGCCACGTTGAGTGAGTTTGGTTTTGTGCTTCCTGGGCCTTCGGCCAATCAGTTGTGCCTTGCCATTTCTGAGGACGATGCTGATGATGCTCATCAGGGGGGAGAGGGTGGTATGCTGGAGGAGGGAGCGCGTCATGTCGAAGCACGTCACCCCCCGATAAGCAAAACCTGGAACCATGATTCTGCTTTCGAAGCACGTCACCCCCCGATAAGCAAAACCTGGAACCATGATTCTGCTTTCGAAGCACGTCACCCCCCGATAAGCAAAACCTGGAACCATGATTCTGTTTTCGAAGCACGTCACCCTCCGATAAGCAAAACCTGGTTCAGGGTTCAAGCGTGTGCGTGTATGGATCGAGGCTGCGTGGAGTGTATGCCATTTTTTGCTGCGAGCCCCGAAGGGGAGTACGTAGCAGCCGATATGCTAAAGCCCGGAGAGCGACTTTGCGCCTTGGATGGGGGGAGACTCATTGAAGCTCCTACTTGGGTCGTCGATGGCTCAGCCGAAACAGCTCAAGCCGTGCAAGGGCATGACGTTAGCGCTGGTCCGGATTGGTTTGATCGAGTTTTTGGAGTTGGCGAGTTGGGATGCTTCGCCCGTTGTCTTGTGTTGATACGTGTGATGTTGAAAGTAGGATGATCGCCTCGGAGCTGCCGTTGAGAGCCCCGTCTGATGATTGCTTGGATAGCGGTCACGTGTTGGTTGATGCGGACTTGTGCCAGCGAGGTTTGAAGGCGCTGCTCAGCCGTGAAGCAAGGCAGCTTAAGGGAGAACTAAGTGGAGGAGAGAATTCCACAGATGCTGCTGAGACGGCCCAGCTAATGACCAGTGTCACTGAGGTGATGCAACAGATTGAGCAAGAGCTGACTTGGTTGCGTGCTTGTAAACTTGAAGGCCAAATGATCCCCAGCACGAGCGATGCTGATGAGAATGCTTGTGAGCTCCCTCAATTTCTACAAACCAGAACGTTCACGAATGAGGAGGTGATGGCCGAGTGGGATGAAAATTGGGAAAGGGCTACACAAGCCGAGTTAACGTCGTTGCTAGAGACCAAGAAGGCTTTGATTCGGGTGGACGATGACACGATTGCTGCGTGGGTTGCGTCGGGAGCGGAAGTCACTCAAGTGCCGTCAAAAACTGTTTTCACGCGAAAGGCCGTGAGCGGCCGTTACAAATGTCGTATTGTGGTGTGCGGCAATGCGCTGCCAAATGTGGGCGAGAGCAGTTTGGAGCGGCGGATGGCTACTTACGCGGGAGGAGTGGACGTGAGTCTTCTCCGGGTTCTGCTTGCTGAAGCTGTTTTCCACAAGCATGACATTGCGACGTGGGATGTGTCAACAGCCTTCTTGAATGCCCCGGCACGGCCCCGTGATCTTCGAGCTGCAGCAAGAGGTAAGACCCAGATTGTGATCCCTGTCCCGCCGCGATCGTTGGTTCGAAAGGGCCTGGTGTCAGCTCGCGAAAAGTGGAAGGTTGAGTTGGCGGTGTATGGGCTAGATACTAGCCCTCGCGATTGGTCGTTGCATCGCAATGATACCTTGAGGGTCATGGTTGTTCTGGTTGAGGCGGGCGCTTTGCGTTTCAAGGCCTGTGTGTCTGACTCCAGCGTTTGGCTGATCTTCTTGGTGGATTCGGCTGAGGACGCTGTTGAAACCGGAGTGTTGGTTGGTTGGCTGGCTGTTTATGTAGATGATTTTTTGGCAGCTACTCGAAAACCGTATTTGACAGCGATCTACGGGTGTATCAAGCAGACTTGGGATTGCGGCGCTGTTGAGTTTGTAGGTAGGATTGGAGAAAGTGAGCCGCTTCGTTTTGACGGTTTGGAGTTGCATTGGGATGAGAAGGGTGAGGAGTTGTGTGTGCATCAAACGTCGTATGTCCGCGGCATGTTGGATCGTCACTCTGACGTGGTACCGCAGCAGGTGCCGTTGGCCCGACATTTGCCCCAGGAGGGCGAGGTGGAGCCTGACAGCGATGCGTTGAAAGAATGCCAGCAGCTGGTGGGCGAACTCTTGTGGATTGCTGTGCGTACCCGCCCTGACGTGGCGTATTCCTGCTCAAGGATAGCGTCTGTTATGTCAAGGAGGCCGCGTGAAGCGTGCAAGGCGGCGCTTGGAGTCCTGGGTTACCTTGCCACGACGTCATCCTTGGGATTGAGATTCTCGATGACCCTCCCTGAGAAGAGGGCTGAGATTCAGAAGGCTTTGCAAGACGGAGGCCTTTTAGAGGTTCACACTGACGCGGGGTTCGCCCCGGAGGGGTCGAGGTCTCAAGAATGCGTGATTATTTACTGGCGTGGTTGTTGCGTGTCCTGGGTGTCGAGTCGTCAGCCGTTTATTGCCCAATCGACATGTGAAGCGGAGTTAATCTCCACCATTCAGGGACACAACATGGGCGACGCCATAGCTTGTCTTCTTGATGAGATTTATCCCGCAGGCAGCTACCGGAAAGTGCTGTTGAACGACAACTCAGCAGCTGTTGGCGTCCTGGCGGCTGACACGAATTCATGGCGGACGAGACATTTAAAAATTCGAGCAGGAGCGTTAAGGGAAAAGGTCGCCTTATTCCAATGGGAGGTGATGCACCTAGAAGGTGCTTCTAATACTGCGGATATTGGAACCAAGCCTCTCCAAGCTCCGCGACTGGACTTGCTTCGGGGTTTGCTTGGGATGGGCTCCGCTAAGGGCTCGGTTTTGCCTTCCAAGGTTCAAAGGTTGGCTAAGATCTTGGGCTCCATGGTGATTTCGCTCTGTGTGAATCCTTCTGAGGGCAGCCGTGAGGTTGTCGAGGTGACGGAGTCTAACGACTCAGACAATTGGACCCTTTACTTGCTTTTGATTTTGTGGACAATTTCAGTGATTGCTGTGTGGGAGGTAGTTAGGAGGGTTGCGGATCATGCTTGGGTTTACTTTACTACAAGGCCCGCGCGAGAGCCTGAGTCGGATCCAGAATCGGAGCCTCCAGAGTTTGAACCTCTTGAGGAGGATAATCTCCCTTTTGAGGTCCATCGCCGACCAGAGATTACGAGGGACGACGCTGACGATGAGCAGTTGCTGCCACCTCCTATGCCCCCACACCGACCCCCCATGCCCGTTAGGTTTCCAGAGCCGGAGCCTGAACGTGATGCTTATGCAGCTGCTCGGGATCGGGAGTGGGCGATGTTGCTAGATGCTCAAGCAGCGCAGCTGAATGCCCATGATGCTGCTGTACCGCAGGGCGAACCTTTAGAGTTTAGGTACGTCGATGACGTTGCTTACCTCGACCCTGTAGTATTTCCGGATCCTCCACTCCGCCTTCGCCACGGTTGGCCGGTGCCTGTACAGATGTCCCTGGTCGAGATCGAGAGGGTGAGATCGGGGTGGGGAGGGCCTGAAAGTGCGCTGTTTCTTTTGCCGCCTGCAGGCGGCGATGATTTTTACGAAACTCCGTCGGGCGGGAGGTCCACTGTGGTCGTCCGGTGGCATATTGGTCCCCGGAGCAGGATGTTTTCCCCAGTGAGGACAAATAGTGCTTACGAGCTTCGTGTTTTCACCGGAAGAAGGAGGACTCTTCTGATGTATGCTGACATGGAAACACAAATCGTAGATGACAACTGGCGAGTGCCAGGCGCGGGTCAAGCCTACTTAGATCGCCAATGGCGCGGTCGCACTGAACTTGAAATTGATCTTAATCTGCTGAACCCGCGTTACCGAGCTGATCTCATACAAAGGGCCGATGAACAGCGGAGGCAACTCCGGACAGGCATGTAAGACCCTGTTTTGGGGGCGCTTTTGACTTTTCTCCCAAGGATCCTACAGCAGGATCCACTGTGATCGTCAGGCGAACTAGCGCCTACCGAGGGGGAGAGTGTGTTGACAAGTGTGATCTCGATGCCTACGGCCTTCCGCTCGAGACTCTTTTGTGTAGGAGGCTGTGCCAGGCATCTTTAAAATCGAGATGTATAGCCAAAGCACCTGTGCTCAGCACCAATCCCTGAGACTACGCAGTTCTTTGTGTGGCGTGTAAAAGAGTCGGTAAGCTCCGCCTCCGTGGGAGCTCCCTCAGCTCACACGGTATATTATATGTCATATATGGCATATCATATATTGTATATTGCATATTATGTACTGCATATAATGCATAATATAAAGTATATAATATATAATATATACTGTATACATAATATACAATATATAAAATATATAATATTATTTATTATTAATTAATTTATTATTTATTATTCATTATATAGTATATTTTATATTTTATGTAGTATGTATTATATATTGTTCTTTGAAGCCATTGGAATGCAAAGAAAATGGAAGTTTTTTGCTTAAAACATGTAGAAGTAGAGTTTTTCCGATGGAAACATAGAGATAATATAGGATTTCTCATGAAAACGTGAAGACAGTAGACGTTTCTTGTGGGAGTATGAAGAAATAGAGGTTTTCCCATTGAAAGATCGAGAAACTAGAAGGTTTTCCAACCACTACCACCACTTCTACGCATCGTGCGAACATTGTTTGCAAATGGGGGGGGCTGCGCCCCCCCCCAACCCCCCCGCTGTTTTTTTTAAGCTGTGCAAAGCGTGCTGCAAAGCCAAGTGGGGGGGTGTGTGGGGGGGGGGGGGCTGCGCCAACCCCAACCCCGCCGCGTTTTTATCAAGCTGTGCCACTGCAAAGCGTGCTTTATGAATCTTGTTGAAGCCATTGGGATACTAAAAAGTTTAAGTTTTTCTTAAAATACATGCAAATAGAGGTTTTCCGATGGAAACATAGAGATGATAGAGGTTTCCTATGAAAACGTGAAGAAAATAGAGGTTTTCTTGTGGGAATATGAAGAAATAGAGGTTTTCCTATTAAAAGATCGAGAAAATGGAAGGTTTTCCAACCACTACCACCACCATCGTGCGAGCATTGTGTTTGCAAATGGGGGGGGGGGCTGCCCAACCCCCCCCCCCCAAACCCCCCCCCACCCCCCAACCCCCCCAACCCCCCCCCCCCACCCCCCCCAACCCCCCCAACCCCCCCAACCCCCCCAACCCCCCCCCCCCCCCAACCCCCCCCCAAACCCCCCCCAACCCCCCCCCAAACCCCCCCCCCCACCCCCCACCCCCCTCCCCCCCCACCCCCCCCCCCCCCCCCCCCCACCCCCCCCCCCCCCCCACCCCCCCAACCCCCC